ATAGCTTGACTCCCTCTTCTTTGGGGCAGCCCCTGAGATATTGGAACACTGCTATCATGTCCCCCCCTCGTCCTTCTCTTCATTAGACTAGACATACCCAATTCCAGCAACCATTCCTTATATGTTTTAGCCTCCAGTCCCCTAATCATCTTCGTTGCTCTTCTCTGTACTCTTTCTAGAGTCTCAACATCTTTTTTACATCGTGGTGACCAAAACTGGATGCAGTATTCCAAGTGTGGCCTTACCAAGGCATATAGAATAGGGATAGAATAGAAATAGAGATAGGCTAGGAATAGAAAATAGAGTACAGATAGAATAGAAATAGAGATAGGATAGAAAATAGAATATAGAATAGGGATAGAATAGAAATAGAGATAGGATAGGAATAGAAAATAGAGTACAGATAGAATAGAGATAGGATAGGAATAGAATAGGGATAGGATAGAAATAGATAGTTTAGGAATAGGATATAGAATATAGAATAGGAATAGAATAGAAATAGGATAGGGATAGATAAGAATAGAAAATAGAATTGGGAGAAAGTAGAAATAGGTTAGAAATAGGATATAGAATAGAGATAGGATATGGAATATAGAATAGGGATAGAGATACATAGGAATCTGATATGGAATAAGGAATAGGAATAAAAAATAGAATGGGGATAGAACAGAAATAGAGATAGAGTGGAATAGGAATAGAATATTTTATTGGCCAAGTGTGATTGGGACACCCAAGGAATTTGTGTCTGGTGCATAAGCTCAAAGTGTACATATAAACAGCAAGTAATAGGTCATAGGTCATCATCATAGTTACAATCATTAATCATAAGTTACAAACAATTAGAACAATAATCTACCGGGTCTAAGGCCTGCATTTTGATGCTCCAAAACGAAGGGAAGCTGCAGGTCTGGAGGAAAAGGTTTTTGCTGCTCCTTGGCTTTACTCCGATTTCAAGGGAGGGCGGTAGATGGTGCAGTAGGTGGGCTGATCTGACTAGGATTTCCTGGAGAGAAACCCATACAAATACATTTAAATAAATAAATTCCTTAAGCTGGGCCAGAAAGCTTCCCAGCGTTTCTCTTTTAGGGATCTGCCTTGGCTTTGAGTTCGTTTGGCAGTCTGTTGTTTCAAAATGAACAAGTTTGTAAATAGGCGGGAGATGAGAAAGAAAAACAGGTTTTGGTGTCCCAGAAGCAGCAGCAGAGTAAGTTGAATTCAGTATTGCCAGGCTGAAAACACTCATTTGGGTAACTGTTAGAAGCACCATTTGGGTAACTGTTAGAAGCAGTGTGAAAGGAGGGAGTGGGGGGTGGGAATCCGCCTTTGTCCTTTTCCTGCATACCAGAGGTTTCAAGTTTCTTTGCCCCTTTGCTCCCTGGGAAAGAGCCCCTCCCTCCTCTGGGCTACAATCCACCACATATATATTTGGGGGTTTCAGCCATCCTTATTAAGGAGGAGAGGTTAAAGGAAGCAGAGGTTAGCTTATAATAATAAAAATAAAGTTGGAAGGGACCTTGGAGGTCATCGAGTCCAACCCCCTGCTCAGGCAGGAAACCCTACACCATTTCAGACAAATGGCTGTCCAGTCTCTTCTTAAAAACTTAAAAATGTTGGAGCATTCACCACTTCTGGAGGCAGGTTGTTCCACTGGTTAATTGTTCTAACTGTCAGGAAGTTTCTCCTTAGTTCTAGGTTGCTTCTCTCCTTGATCAGTTTCCATCCGTTGCTTCTTGTCCTGCCTTCAGGCGCCTTGGAAAATAGCTTGACTCCCTCTTCTTTGGGGCAGCCCCTGAGATACTGGAAGACTGCTATCATGTCCCCCCTCGTCCTTCTCTTTGTTAAACTAGACATACCCAATTCCAGCAACTGTTCCTTATATGTTTTAGCCTCCAGTCCCCTAATTGAAGGGAGACTTGTGTATTTTATTTGCTTACAGTGGTTAAGGTACTTGTGTTGTTGTTAGTTGCGAAGTGGTGTCTGACCCATCGCCACCCCATGGACAACGTTCCTCCAGGCCTTCCTGTCCTCTATCATCTTCTGGAGTCCATTTAAGCTCACGCCCTCTGCTTCAGTGACTCCATCCAGCCACCTCATTCTCTGTCGACCCCGTCTTCTGTTACCCAAGGCACTTTTACCCCTACGTTATCTCAGAGCTCAAAGTTGCTTATGTGGGAATCTGCCCCTAGTTTTAACCACATCACAACCCAGTGAAGTGTGTCAGAGAGACAGAGAGAAACTGACCTAAAAGCGGCAAATGAGATCCATGGTCTAAGGGGGACTTCAACCTGCAGCTACTCAGACCTAGTCCCACACTTAAACTACAGGACATATAAAATAGAATAGAGTAGAATTCTTTCCCAAAGATGTTTTTTCACGAGGCAGCTGCACGTTCTTGTTTTTCGTTTGAAGACGTTTCACTTCTCATCCTTCTTCAGCTCTTCCTGGATGGTGGGGAAATGGAAGGATTTATACTCCTTCTAGACAGCTGGTCATATTGTCTGCAAGCTGTCTGCAAGGAGTATAAATCCAGTATAAATCCAGTCAGAGCTGAAGAAGCTTCTTGGATGAGAAGCGAAACGTCTTCAAAGAAAAACAAGAAAGTCCAGTTGCCTCGTGGGAAAGCATCTTTGGGATAACTATGACCTGGATGACTGAGAATCTCCATAGACAATAGAATTCTTTATTGGACAAGTGTGATTGGACACAAAAGGAATTTGTCTCTGGTGCATAAGCTCTCAGTGTACAAGCTCTCATAAGCTCTCAGTGTACAAGCAACAAGTAATAAATCATGACCATAATCATAAAATACAATCATCATAAATCATAAGATACAACACTCCGGGATAGTCATAGGACACTAAATAAGCAATCAACATAAATCACACTAGGATACTAAATAACACCATCAATATAAATCATAAATACAAGCAACACAGTAATAGTCATAAGAAGATAGGAAAATAGGTAATAGGAAAGATGAATGCAACCCTACTAGGTAGTTTGACAGTGTTGTGAGAATTAGTTGTTTAGCAGAGTGATGGCATGGTGGGAAAAAAAAAACCCTGTCCTTGTGTCTAGTTGTTCTGGTGTGCAATGCCCTATAGCGTCATCCTGAGGGGAGAAGTTGAAATAGTTTATGTCCAGGATGTGAGGGGTCTGTAGATATTTTCCCCACCGTCTTTCTGGTTCATGCAGTATACAGGTCCTCGATGGAAAGCAGGCTGGTTGCAATTGTTTTTTTCTGCAGGCCCAACCATCCGTTGAAGTTTGTGTCTGTCCTGTTCGGTTGCAGTGCCAAACCAGACAGTTACAGAGGTGCAGATCACAGACACAATAATTCCTCTGTAGAACTGTATCGGCTGCTCCTTGGGGGTAGTCTAAGCTTTCTGAGTTGAGCTTTCTGAGTTGGTTCTGCTTACGATGAGAAGGAAAATTATATGCGAAAGTCTTGCAGAGTTTCAAAACTCTTCCACACTAAGAGCCTAAAAAACTATTGCTGAATTTGCATTTCAAGCCTGCAGAATGTGTGCCTTGGGATTGGCAAAATAATTGTGGGCTGCTTACATAGTGAAGAATCAGAATAGAGCTGGAAGGGACCTTGGAGGTTTTCTAGTCCAGCCCTCTGCTCACCCTATATCATTTCAGACAAGTGGCTTGCCAGTCTCTTCTTAAAAACCTCCAATGATGAAGTAAGTACCCACAACGTCTGAAGGCAAGCTGTTCCACTGGTTAATTGTCCTCACTGTTAGGAAGTTTCTCCTTAATTCCAGGTTGCTTCTCTCCTTGATTAGTTTCCATCCATTGTTTCTTGTCCTGCCTTCTGGTGCTTTGGAAATTAAGTTGACACCCCCCCCCTCTTTGTGGCAGCCCCTCAAATACTGGAACACTGCTATCATGTCCCCCCCCCCCCTAGTCCTTCTTTTCTCTAGACTGGCTATGCCCAAATCCTGCAACCGTTCTTCATATGTTTTAGTCTCCAGGCCTTTAATCGTCTTAGTTGCTCTTCTTTGCACTTTTTCCAAAGTCTCAACATTTTTTTTGTAATGCGGTGACCAAAACTGGATGCAGTATTCCAGGCCTGGCCTTCCTAAGGGTTTATAAAGCGGAATTAATACTAAACGTGATTTTGATTCTGTGCCCCTGTTTATACAACCCAGGATTGTATTAGCTTTTCTGGCTGCTGCCGCACACGGCTGGCTCATGTTTAAGTGATCGTCCACTAGTGTGGCATTGTTCTTCTCTCATTCTCCTGCAGGGTTATTTTATAGTTTTGTTTTGTTTTTACTTGGGTATGTGTGTGCCTGTGAGCTGTAATTGTTATGGTTCCGGCTAATGAAACACTTCAAAGAACTTCCAGGCATTGATTTTCCTAAAAGTAATTTATTGTTACAAAATGTCGGCACAGGCATAATGAAGGCATGCTAAGATCTAAGTTCTCTTCCTCTGAGCAGTTAAATTATCAGCATGTTCCCTCCCTAAATTAGCTGTCATATATCATGTTATCCAATTAGTGTGAAGGTCAAAGGTTTCCTTCCTCTCTCTTTCCCCGGGCTTTTCCCTCCACCCTCTTCTGCTCTGCATTAACCCTAAAAATACCAGACAGTTTTGCATATTGTCAAAGCAAGAATATACAGTATTTGCAGCGTTGACAGTAATAGTCATTTATGCATACATTCATTCAAATGTGACTATCAGCTAAGCAAAGTCGGTGGCCTGTGCTATTGTACCAGAGAACTCCTTGTGGTATTGCCTGCTGTATCGTCTGTCTCTGATCTGTTTCCTCCATTGTCTCCTTTGTTTACAGAGAGATACTTTACACCGTTTATGGCCGCCTTGTAATTTGATCCTTGACTGCCTGAGTGGTGCCATTACTTCCCCTCTCCCCCCCCCAAAAAAAACCCCCACTGCCAATCCCTGGGCAGTTTTTCCAACTTCCTCTCAGTTCAATTACAGCCATTCAGATATTTCCCCCGGAAGAAAGTGATTGAATGAGACAGGAGATGTTTCGAATCTTAGTGGAGACGGTGCTGACCCCAGAATCGAAGGAGGAAGCTGTGGATTCGGTAGGGGGCCTTGAGGCAGTTGAGGCTCCCAGCCCTGGTGGCGAACACTGGGAAAAAAATGTCAACAAAATTCTGGGGGAAGAGAAAGGTAACTCCTATGTCCAGCGTCAACATTTCAGGCAGTTCCGTTACCGGAGGTGCGCTGGGCCCCGCACGGTTTACAGCCAGCTTCACGATCTCTGTTGCCAATGGCTGAAGCCAGGAGAGCACACGAAAGCTGAGATCCTGGACTTGGTGGTCCTGGAGCAGTTCTTGACTATCCTCCCTCCCGACATGAAGACCTGGATCAGGGAATGTGGCGCGGAGACCTGTTCCCAGGCGGTGGCCCTGGCCGAAGGCTTCCTCTTGAGCCAAATGGAGGACAAGAAGCCGAAAATCCAGGTGAGGACAGCTTGGTGGTAACTTTCAAGGACCATGAAGCGAGTGATTCACACGTTCCAGCTCAGGAAGGCTTCCCGTTAACATCTAAGGCGTGTGGCTCTTGGAGGATCTTGTGGTCTCGGCCGGCAGCATCCATTTGGAGGAGATTCTGGGATGTTTGTGCTACAGAGGGAGCAGTGGCGTCGTTCTGGGTCACTGCCTTCCACCAGGATCTATCTGATCAGAACCTCCAGATGCTGTTGCCAAAGAGCCAAAAGCTGGGGAGGAATGCAGGCTACCCCCTCTGTAACTTAAAACTTTTCTTCCTGATAGTTCCGAGGGGACGAGAACACACAGTTCCTCCCCCAAAACACCCCCCCTCAGCTGCACAGTTGTTGGGGGGGGGGAATCTCCTTAAAAGAGAGGTCTTTTTGCTTTCCTGTTCCCACCTTGTATGGATATCTGGTACTGCTTTGCAGGGTCTGTTTGTGGATAACGATTTCCCCCAAATTAAGAAGGCGGTTCCCTCAGATGAAGGACAGAGACAGTTCTTCAAGCAGATCTTAGAGAACGAAGATGCCGTATTGCAGGGTAAGAATGAAAGGGATATAGATTGTTATGGTCTTTATCTATCTATCTATCTATCTATCATCTATCTATCTATCTATCTATCTATCTATCCTATCTAATCTTATCTAATCTAATCTATCTATCAGACTGGGATAGTCCTGGTGAATTTCAGACGGTTGGTAAAAAGTTTAAAAGATGCAGCGCCTTTTTAACTCATGAGTCTGTTTTTCCTCGACCTTGGCGATGTGGACTTAAAGTAAGACATAGTAGGCTGAGGAATTCTGGGAGTTAAAGTCCACATCTTTTAAATTTGCCACGGTTGAGACATGCTGTCAGAAACAATGATTGAGAATGTCTGTAAGGGGAAGGAGTCAAAAAAGTCAAGATGGTGGTGTGGCCTTAACCCCCCCTTTTTTATGTGCGCAATAAAACCAGCCTTTAGAAGGAGGGAGCATGTTAGCAAGATGGAAAACCAGCCTTTAGAAGGAGGGAGCATGTTAGCAAGATGGAAACATTGCTAATTGAGGCGACCTTGAAGTCCTCAGTTCTCATCAAAACCCGCTATGGCAGTTCTTTCTATGAAGACAATCATTCTTCCCTGAGGCTCGTAACAGTAGAAAATAAATAGAACCTAGAGTCGGAAGGGACCTTGGAGGTCTTCTAGTCCAACCCCCTGCGCGAGCAGGAGACCCTATACCAGTGGTTCTCAACCTTTTTAATGCCGTGACCCCCAACCGGTCGTAAGTCGAGGACTAAACCGGTCGTAAGTCGAGGACTAAACCGGTCGTAAGTCGAGGACTAAACCGGTCGTAAGTCGAGGACTACCCAACCGGTCGTAAGTCAAGGACTTTCCCTGCCCGGGAGCGCCGCGCATGCGTGGTTCCGCCCCCTGCGCCAGCCGAGGCGTAGCTGGCAAGCGGCAGAGACGGAGCAGGCCGATCACCAGCTGGCCCAGCCCAAGGGAGGTAAGGCACCCGCTGGGAAAGGGGGAAAAATGGCAGACAAAAAAAATGGTGGGCAGCCTTGCTTGGCGACCCCCGTGAAATGGTCGATCGACCCCAAATGGGGTTGCGACCCATAGGTTGAGAACCGCTGCCCTATACCTTTTCAGACAAATGGTTGTCCAGTCTCTTTTTGAAAGCCTCCACTGATGGAGCTTTTGGTGGCAAACCGTTCCACTTGTGAATTGTTCTCACTGTCAGGACATTTCTCCTTAGTTCTAGGTTGCTTTGCTGGAATTGGGTATGTCTAGTTTAATGAAGAGAAGGACAAGGGGGGACATGATAGCAGTATTCCAATATCTCAGGAGCTGCCCCAAAGAAGAGGGAGTCAAGCTATTCTCCAAGGCGCCTGAAGGCAGGACAAGAAGCAACAGATGGAAACTAATCAAGGAGAGAAGCAACCTGGAACCGAGGAGAAACTTCCTGACAGTTAGAACAATTAACCAGTGGAACAACCTGCCTCCAGAAGCGGTGAATGCTCCAACACTGGAAGTTTTTAAGAAGAGACTGGACAGCCATTTGTCTGAAATGGTATAGGGTTTCCTGCCTGAGCAAGGGGTTGGACTAGATGGCCTCCAAGGTCCCTTCCAACTTTATTTTTATTATTATTATTATTATTATTATTATTAGTAGTAGTAGTAGTAGTAGTAGTAGTAGTAGTAGTAGTAGTAGTAGTAGTAGTAGTAGTACGACTGTATCACTTTTGTCTCCTTTCCTGAAATGTATATATATGCTTGCATCCTTTTGTCTGTAGGCATCCCTCCCGCCATTTTCTGGAGGGTAAATTCCTCCAGGCTGCACTAAATATATAATAACTGCAGTGAGCCTTGATTGTGGAAACCATCTTGAGATTTTCGACTCCTCCCTTTGCGGAAACTCCAGCTAGTCACAGCTGAATGATAAAAGACGTTTCTCCTTAGCAGGTTTTATAATTAATTGTAAAAAAATAATTCACCTATTTTGTTCAATAGAAATAAGGTGTCTGGAAGCCGTAAGGAAAATGAATACAACTTGTGAGCCGAATCTGGCGGCAAAATTTGAAAAATCTCTTGTCAGTCCAGATACATCATATTTCCCAATCGCTTAACATGTGGTGAAGGGGCGAGGTGCTTTATTTCAGTCACTGACTGACTTTACGTACCATAAAATGTGGAACTAAAATAAAAATATAAATACAGGTAACCCACCACATACAACCATTCATTCAGTGACCATTTGACGTTACAACGGCACTGAAAAGTGGTTTATGATCATTTTTCCTCACAATGGTTGCAGCGTCCCTGCGGGTCACATGATCAAACTTTTGAGGCTTCGCAACCGGCTTATATTTGTGATTGCGGTGTTTGCGACCTCCTGACAAAGCCAATGGGGAAGCCAGGTTCACTTAACAACCGTGTTACTAACTTAACAACTGTGTGGATTCACTTAAACTGTGACAAGAAAAGTCCTAAAACGGGGCAGAACACACTTAACTGCCCCACTTAGCAATGGAAATGTTGGATTCAGTTGTGGTCGTGAGTTGGGGAACCACGTATAACACAAAATGGAATAAAAGGTAAATGGAACACAGCCCACAAAAGTGAATGCTTTTGAACACAGATTAACTAGCACTACAGATTCGGTGGAAAAAAAAAACCAATTGAAAATTGAACTGGAAATAAATAAACGGGAGGAATAAGAGTGGGAGTCTCTTGAGTTAAAGAGACGCATAAGGTTTGCTTAGCATCTTTAGAGATTGCAGTATGTAAATGTCACAATGTCACAGGTAGTCCTTGACTTACGACCACAATTGAGCCCAAACTTTATGTTGCTAAGTGAGAAATTGGTTAACGTGAGTTTTGCCCCATGGTATGACTTTTCTTGCCACATTTAGAATGGAATGGAATAGGAATATAAATTTATAAGAATAGGAATAGAAGTAGAATAGAGAATAAAATGGAATGGGAGGATAGGATAGGATGGAATGGAATAGAATAGAATAGAATAGAAATATGGAATAGAATAGAAATATGGAATAGAATAGAAATATAGAATAGAACAGGGGTAGGCAACCTTGGCTCTTTTATGACTCGTGGATTTCAATTCCCAGAATTCCTAAGCCAGCCATGCTGAGGAGAAATGGAGAGGTTTCCAAGCTGAGCCATGCTGGCTCAGGAATTCTGGGATGTGAAGTCCACAAGTCATAAAAGAGCCAAGGTTGCCTACCCCTGGAATATAGAAATAGAATAGAAATATGGAATGAATAGAATAGAAATAGAATAGAAACATGGAATAGAAATATGGAATAGAATAGAGTAGAGTAGGAGTACGAATAGAATAAGAATAGGAAAAGGAATATAAATTTATAAGAATAGAAATGGAACAGAAAGGAATAGGAATAGAAATAGTACAAATTTATAAGAATAGGAATAGAATAAGAATAGGAAAAAGAATATAAGTTTAGAATAGAATTAGAATAGAATTACAATGGAATGGAATAGGAATAGAATAGAAGAGTTGGAAGGGACCTTGGAGGTCTTCTGGTCCAGCCCCCTGCTCAGGCAGGAAACCCTAAACCATTTCAGACAAATGGCTGCCCAGTCTCTTCTTAAAAACTTCCAGTGTTGGAGCATTCACCGCTTCTGGAGGCAGGTGGTTCCACTGATTTGTTAAGTGAATCACTGCAGTTGCTGAGTTCGTAACACGGTTGTTAAGCGAATCCGGATTTCTCCGTCGAGTTTGCTTGTCAGAAGGTCACAAGAGGGGATTCCATGATCCCCGAGACCCTGCACCCGTCGTAAACAGGAGTCAGTTGCCAAGCGTCTGAACGTAAATCACGTGACCATGGGGATGTGGCAGTGGTCGTGAGTGTGAAAAAAATGGTCATAAGTCGCTTTTTTTCAGTGCCGCTGTAACATAGAACCAGTCACTAAGCCATCGGTTGTAAGTGGAGGATCACAGATTTTTTTTTTGTAAAGCATTCATTTCTGCCACTGCAACTTTGCAGACAGCAATGGATTTGTGTGTGTGTGTGTGTGTGTGTGTGTGTGTGTGTGTGTGTGTGTCAAAGTTAGCTCTCTTCTGAGGACAGTGGGAAAAGAAACCAATACTGAGGTAAACAAAGCATGGTTTGTTGGAAGGCCTCCTGAGCTGTGAGAATAAAAGAAACAATGGCCTCGTAGGCGGGTCTTGTCCAGATCCACCTTTTCAGATGCAAATGAAGCAACAACTTCCCCACTACATTTTTGTCCACTTACAGGCAATGAGAACTCCATGGCGAGGGATGTGTCTGCTTTTGTTTCTGAAGTGTTTCCTTCAGCTGAGCCCACTCTGGTAAGAAGAAAAGGGTTGGGGCTAAAATGGGTCAGTCGCTGCACATTTTCCTGGGCCTGCCTGGCACCCCTTTCCTTTCCCCCACCTGCCCACCCTCCCTCTATTTTCCTTTCCTTTTCTCCCTCTTTTCCCTTTTCTCCCCCCTCCTCCAGGCTCCGCTGTCTTTTGAGGACGTGGCGGTGTATTTCACGGAGGAAGAGTGTCCTCTCTTGAACGCAAGCCAGGTAGCCCTGCAACTGGAGGTCATGGTGGAGAACTACCAAAACCTGAGCTTTTTAGGTGAGTCCCCACGTTGGGTCCCAACAGGCTGAAATCCGTCGTCTTTAGCAACACGCTCCATTCCCCACCGTCCAGTTGGAGCTGAAGAAGCTTGTTGGATGAGAAGTGAAACCTCTTCAAAGAAAAATCGGAAAGTCCAGTTGCCTCCTGAAAAAAAGGACCTTTGGGATCGCTGTTAAGTGAATCTGGCTTCCCCATTGACTTTGTTTGTCAGGTCACAAAAGATGATCACAAGACACACACACAAACACACACACACACACACACCTCGGGACACTGCAACCGTCATAATTATGAGCCAGTTGCCAAGCGTCCGGATTTCGATCCCGTGACCGTGGGGATGAGTGCAAAAGCCGGTCATAAGTCACTTTTTTTCCCCAGTGCTGTTGTAATTTTGAACGGTCGCTAAGTTGTACGTTGAGGACTTCCTGAATGAATTTCAAATCAGATTGCAAACACAGGGCACTTAGCACTGGAAGTCTGAAAGTACAAAAGAAAATGTTTGAAGAATCTAAGCGTAGCCACAGAACCTGGGTCTTTCTCAGTCCTAGTCTTGACAGCTTCCCAACTACACAACACTGGCTACTATTCACTGCAAATTATGTGCTTTTCCAATAAGCAGTGTTCTGCTTTCACTATTATAATTTTCAGCGATCACTTTCCTATAGTCTCGAGCGGTTGTTTTCCGTGTTGGACAGGGAATTCTTGGAGTTGAAGTCCAAGGATATCAAGGTTGAGAAAGGCTGATCCGAGGCTTTTGACTTCCTCTTAATATCACTCGCCGAAAGCTTTTCCTCATTTCACCAATTTTCTTTTCAGGTTTTCTCTTGGTCTTACGTTTTTTTTTAATCTTACTCTAGGGAGGGGCACACGGCAGAAGGAGGATGAGTCCCAAAGAATCTCCTTAAAAAGAAGCAGATCCACCCAGGAGGAACCGCAGAGCGAGGGAACGGAGGATCGGCCAAAGTGCTTGAGATGGGATGAATTCTCTCTTTCTGAAAGCCCTCATTTCCAAGGTGTAACAGTGCCTCCCCAAAGATATCCGGCGAATACATCTTTAGCTTCGGCAAGCAGGAACTTTTCCAAAACTCCAATCCAGGGAAAACTAACCACGAGAAACACACCCTTGGTTTCGAAGAGCGTGAATTCTCCTGAAACGCTCAACCATGGGAAATTAGCTCCGAAACCGAGAATGAATACGTGTCCCATCTGTGGGAAAAGCTTCGCTCATAAGTCTCTACTGCATGAACACGAAAAAATCCACGCCAAGGAGAAACCTTTTAAATGCTCCGAATGTGGCATAAGCTTCAGTCAGATGGCAACCTTGACCTCTCACAAACGCATCCACACGGGGGAGAAACCCTATCACTGCTCGTCGTGCGGAAAGAGTTTCAGTCACAGCATAACTCTCCATTCTCATCGAAGGAGCCACAAAATTTAAAACTCATCCAAGTGGCAAGAGCTACAATCAAAATCCAAAGCTTCCCAGACTGGCAAAGATTCATGCAGGGCAGAAACTGATGGGTATATGAGTTGTGGAAGGTACCCACCTAAGTTTTAGGTATAAACTCTTAACAAATCTCTATAAACCTTTTTTTTTTTTTTTGGGGTGGGAGGCAGCTGCCTGAAACGTTGATTTTGATTCCCTCTACACCAGGGGTCGGCAACCTTAAAACACTCAAAGAGCCACTTGGATCCGTTTCCCATAGAAAAGAAAACGGAGCCGCAAAATCCGCACCTACATGCGTGTGCGCCGGAAGGGGGGGCCTTGATTGAAGAATTTAATTAAAAAGAAATAGAGGTTGCTGTGCATGAGTTTTCTCTCTCCCCCCCTTTTTTCTCTCCCTCTCTCTCTTTCCTCTCCCTCTCTGATCTTCTCACCTGGCAAGCTGGCTTCACGCTGTTCTCCGACAAGCTGACACACATTCTTATTGGGCTGGCTCTCTCCTGCCCTTGGTCTGTCAGTCCTCTTTTCCCACTCAGTGTGTGTGTGTGTGTGTGTGAGAGAGAGAGAGAGAGAGCGAGAGAGCGCTAGCTGCTGCTTCCTGCTGCTTCCTGCTTCCTGCACAGACGCAGCAAAGGCAGGAGCCCCGCCCAATAAGCTTGTCAGCTTGTCGGAGAACAGCGTGAGGCCACTCTCTTTTTTACACACACACACAGAGAGAGAGAAAGAGAGAGAGAGAGACAAGGGGGAAGCACAAGTGCCTCTCTCTGTCTCTGTCTCTGCAAATGGCAGAGGAGGACTGGGAGCTGCAGGAGAAGGCTCAAAGAGCCACATGCAGCTCCGGAGCTGCGGGTTGCCGACTCATGCCCTACACACACACACAAATCTCCTGAAGTTCTTTTTTTAGCTAGTTTTATTGAGTTGAGAGACAGATTGGATTATTTTGATGGTTAAGCTTAAATGCTTTTATATCTGTTTTTTTCTACTGTTGTAAGCCACCCAGAATCACCTCGAGGCAGTGAGACGGGGGAGCATATACGTTTAAAAACTAAATGAAAAATAAAGAAATAAATTAGAATCACAGCCAGTGAATTCTTTTCAGTGTATGTTAGGGCGAGAGCCAGTTTGGTGTAGCAGTTTTTAAGATGACAACGGGGAAACCAGGTTTCGGGGATGTCAACTGTCCATTTGGCATTTCCAGAAAATGAAACTCCTGGGACATGATTTTACCAAGTGTATAAGACTACTGAAAATTTACATTGGCACAGAAGAAGCGAAACCAGCTCTGGTTTTTCCACCCAAAGGCTTCCTTAATTAAACAATAGATTTTCTCGCTCCCATCCATCGGGTGTTCACATTGTCTAATACTCTGTTTCCCTGAAAATAAGACCCAAGCGGAAAATAAGCCCTAGCACGATTTTTCAGGATGCTGGTAATATAAGCCTTATCCCAAAAATAATCCCCAGTTAAGATTGTCAGTCATACGGACGCATTTAGTACCATATTTCCATGAAAATAAAACCTAACCGGAAAATATGACCTAATGCGTCTTTTGGAGCAAAAATTAATATAAGATCCGGTCTTATTTTCGGGGAAATATGGTAGTAATACTTCTTGTTATGGAAACAGTCCACTTCTCCATTGAGCACCTGCATCAGGTTCATTCCATGTCAAGTGGTCTGATTTCAGAAAAGTGCCCTGCTCGACCATCACGGGTTTTGATGAAATTTTGTGTGTACATGCACACATGTCCCCAATGAACATTGGTAAAGTGTTATGTTTGCCGATGCAATACTTGCAGAGATATAGTCATTTTTTTTACCCTATACCGCAGCCTTCTACAGTATGACTCTTGAGATTCCAGCAACTTTGAGACATAATATCTCCGGCAATATTTTGTTGAGAGAAACAAAACCTGGCCATCTTGTACAACTTTTTGTGCTCTATTAAACAAAATAATAAACACATTGTCATGAACAATCTCCATCTAGATAATTTGGAGCAAACTTGGCCGAAAATATTGCGGTTCAAAAAAAAAAGTTTAAAGTTTGGCTTTTTATATCTCTGGAAGGAAAGGTATGATAAATGTGAAACTTTGCGTGTAATAACTTAGCAACACAAGGTTTTTAAATATAAAATTTCATTCTCCTATTACTTTCCAATAGTTTACAAATTGAGTGTAAATTTGACGTTTTTTGTAAAAACACCAAAATAGGGTATTTTCAGTCTGCTTTTACAAAAAAAAGACCTTCTGGAAACTGTTAAATCATTCTCATTAGAAAGAGCATGTTTCAAACCAGCAAGGCTTGGGATCCTGAATCAAGAAACCTACCCGTGGCTGGTGTTGCACGGTTATTGGGCCCCCTATGGCGATGGGGTTGCTGGTTCAAGTGCCTGAACTGGTAGTGACAATGTCACCATGGACCAACGCAATATAATAGTAGTAATGATGTCTATATAAAACAAACAAGACAAAAAAATAATAGAATACATGTGACATTGCCATAGCAATATCCTCAACTTTGTCCCTATTTTTAGGGCTTTATACGTCAGCGATGAAAAACCAACCCGACTTTTTTAGGGGGTTTGAAACATGCTCTTTCTAATGAGAATGATTTAACAGTTTCCAGAAGGTCTTTTTTTTGTAAAAGCAGACTGAAAATACCCTATTTTGGTGTTTTTACAAAAAACGTCAGAAGTAAAGTCTTCATCCTGGTTCATCCAAGCCGGGAATAAATAAGCAACATTGCGTCTGCTTTGGGAAGATGGTTACAGTTTATTGCAGAAGCAGAAAGATGCTTCTTCAGGAAAGAGCAGAGGAGAGAAGAGGGGCTGAGCACATGGCCAGTAGCTTTTTATACCCTCTCTAGCTTTTTGTTTGGAATAGTTTCCTCTTCCTGTGGCATGAACTTTGAACTGAGTCTGAGTGCTTTTCTAGGCCTTAGTATCTGTGGTTCAGTCCTATTATGTCCCAAAAGTCATCTCCTGCTTCCCTGCGGCTGGGCTAATGACTCTTAAGAGTTTCTTTGTCTTCTTGAGCTTCCTGGCTCCAGCATTCCTGATGGTCTTACATCTGCATTTGTATAGGGCTGGCTACTGCTTGGGGCAAAGAGATGAGGCCAGGGTTGGTTTTTGGTTTTTAAAAATCCTTTTGAGGAAAAATATATTTTCCTGCCTTTTTAATATTTCCTTCTCTGGGCTAACTTCCCTCAACGTCAAATTTACACTCAATTTGTAAACTATTGGAAAGCAGTAGGAGAATGAAAATTTATATTTGAAAACCTTGTGTTGCTAAGTTATTACACGCAAAGTTTCACGTTTATCATATCTTTCCTTCCAGAGATATAAAAAGCCAAACTTTAAACATTTTTTGGAGCTGCAATATTTTCGGCCAACTTTGCTCCACATTATCTAGATGGAGATTGCTCATGACAGTGTGTTTATTATTTTGTTTAATAGAGCACACAAAGTTGTACAAGTTGGCCAAGTTTTGTTTCTCTCAACAAAATATTGCCGGAGATATTATGTGTCAAAAGTTACTGGAATCTCAAGAGTCATACTGTAGAAGGCTGCGGTATGGGGTCAAACAAATGACTATATCTCCGCAAGTATTGCATCAGCAAACGTTAACACTTTACCAATGTTCATTGGGGACATGTGTGCATGTACACACAAAATTTCATCAAAATCATTGCTGGTCGAGCAGGGCGCTTTTCTAAAATCAGACCACTTGACATGGAATGACCCATCAGTGACCTTGTTGTTGTTGCAGGCTCTCAAAGACGCCTCGGTTGCCTAGATACCATGCCCCCACCTTTGCATTCCATTCTATCCTGTTTGTTGTCAAGCCCAGTTTTAACAAGGAGATGCAGGAGAAGGTTAGAAATAAACATCACATGAGTGTGCGAGGAAGAGCGCAAACATAAAATCAAGACACTAAACCCTAGGTATTGTTTGCATACAACCTCGCTTCAAGGCGGGGAAAAAAACCAGAATGGGAGGGGAGCAACAGCAATAGCACTTAGGCTTATTCATGTAATCCTCCACTTACCACCACACTTGAACCCAAAATGTATGTCGCTAAGCGAAACCTTTGTAAAGGGAACTTTGCTCCACTTTACGATAGTGTGACGTCGGGACGTCATAAATATGAGCCAGTTGCCAAACGTCTGAATTTTGATCCTGTGACCACAGGGGTGCTGCAATGGTCGTGTGAAAAATGGTCGTAAATCACTTTTTTTCAGTGCCATTGTAACTTTGAACGGTCACTAAACGAACTGTCGTAAGTTGAGGACTACTTGTATATCGCCCCCTAGTGCCCTCTCTGAGCGATTTACAGTGTCAACCCAACAATTTGGGTCCTCATTTTACCGACCTTGGAAGGATGGAAGGCTGAGTCGACCTTGAACCGGTCAGGATCAAACTTGCTGGCAGTCGGCAGATTCAGCCTGCAATACTGCATTCTAACCACTGCTCCTCCAGAGCACCGCACGTGCCCGCAATTTCAGCAGTGAATCAAAATTTAAAGGACATAAACAGAGCCACAATGGGGAGAAGTGCTACATGAGTTTGGAAGGTAGAAAGGTTTCAGCTGGAGCACAAATCTTACCAGACATCAAATTATTCACAGAGGGGAGAAACCGAATAAATACAGTGATGTTGAAGAGCTTCAGCTGGAGTGTAAACCTTATTTAGGCATCAGAAAAACCAAACAGGAGAGAAAACCTGTTGTTTGCCCAGAGCTGTGTTTCTCAACCTTAACAATTTAAGACGTGTGGACTTCAACTCCCAGGATTCTCCAGCCAGCATGCTGGCTGGGGAATTCTGGGAATTGAAATCCACACTTCTTGAAGCAGTTGAGAAACAGTGGCCTTAAAAGTAAGGATGGAGTTTCAGTTCCACCACAGTTCCGTCTTGTGTTCCATCAGAAGCTTCACACCAGGGAGAAACCATACAAATTCTTGGATTGTACCATGGGTTTTTGGGTAAAAATCGAG